CGGCGCCCCCTCCGCCGCGGGTTGGACCCCCTTCCCACCCCACTTCCCTACCCCGCACCCGGGCCCGCTTCGCACGCTTCCCAACCCCCTGGCGTCCCGGGCCGACCTCCTTGACCTTCCCTGCCAACCGCCTCCCCTACTGCCCTAAGACCCCGGGGAAACATTTGGGGGACCGGGGCCTGGGAGACGCGGGAGAACGGAGTAGGCTGTGCCTGGGGGCCACATCGCACCCCGACCTCACGCCACTTCCTAGGGAGCTGGGCACAGGAGCCAAGGGGTGACATCTCCCTTCGTGCGCCCTCCTGCTGGGTTGGGAGTGGAAGGTCCTGGTGGGGCGCGAAATTGTCCCGGAGCCTAAGTAACTGTGGGCCTTTCTCCCCGCCCCCACTTCTGCCCCTGCAGTCAGCGTCACCGTGGGGGGCAAGCAGTACCTCCTGGGACTCTATGACACGGCGGGACAGGTGAGTGCCTTGGCCCCTGCCCCCCTTCCCTTCCCAGACTCGGAGCGCCCGGGGGGGCCTCTTCCCGCGGGGGTGCCGAGGCGGGAGGGCGTGTCCGCGAGGGCTGCCCTGGGTCTAGTCTGGATTTCTCTTTTCAAGTCGGCAAATTAGGAAACGCAAAAAAACCCCAACAACAAACCTCAGCCCAGTGCCCCCGTGGGAACGCCTGGGCTGTGAAAGTTTTTGCCTGCCGGCGCCTTCCGTACGGTGCCCGGTGCGTGGGTCCCAACTCCTGTTGCAAAGTGGCAGCAGCCAATCGGGAAGCGCCCCTATTTTTGGTGCCGCTGACCAGGCTCCCCTCGCAGCCTCCGTCGGGCCCCTCATTGGCGAGTGGGCGGCCTGCCCGAGGCGCCTGATTGGTGGGAAATGGCATCATCTAATATGATGGGAAGGCGTTGGGTCCTGCTTGTGTTCATTACAACATCACTGCACCCTGGGACCCGAGTCCCTGAAAACATAATTTGTGGTGTTACCAGGGGACCGCAGGGAAAAAAAGAAAAGAAACAACAACCATTTAGCCACTCCCTGCGGCCGGGAGGGCGTGGAAGGGTTAGGAGTTCAGTGTGAATCCTGGAAGAAGGGCTTTATTTATTTATTTGTCTGAGGAAGGCCAGGTGACTGGCTTCTTTCTGGGATAGCTTATTGTGTAGAAAGAAAATGAACACTTCTCCTGGCAGCCTCTGACCATTATTTGCAAATTAGAGGTGGCTCCTAAAGGATTAAGGTCTCTTCTTTCTTCCTCTATCCCAGCTCCACCCTCTTCCCAGACCCACTTTGGCTGTGGGGCTGGATTGTATGATGAAGTTTTGCAGAATCCAGCCCTGTGATTAGACCTGAAGACTTGGGTAGAAGTTTCCACATGTCATGCAGACTTGGGTCCTCCAGGACATGTGAGCAGCTGAGGGGCTTAGTGAGGGGCTTTGGGGGATGTCCAGTAGTATCTTTCTTATCTGTAAAATGGGGCTTAGCACTGAGTCTGGCACGCACTAGGTAGGTGTTCAATAAAGCGGAGCTGTTCTTTGTGGCTTTTCTAGTTTTGGATTTCAAAACTGTGGTACCAGGTTAGATTCTGAAAAATGTCTTGTTTGGGGGGCGGGTTCCCTGATGTGACCTCTGGTTTCTAAACTGTTAAGTTAGAGGAGACCTGAGGTTTCAGAAACTTGCATTGGGCAGTGCCTGAGGCTGCCCCCTTTCCCCAAACTGACCCAAGTCAGTACAACCAGTTCTTCTGGGCCCNTGACCTCTGGTTTCTAAACTGTTAAGTTAGAGGAGACCTGAGGTTTCAGAAACTTGCATTGGGCAGTGCCTGAGGCTGCCCCCTTTCCCCAAACTGACCCAAGTCAGTACAACCAGTTCTTTTGGTTGCCTGTCTTATAGTTGTTATTCCTTCCAGCTATCAGAATGCATGGAGACCAACTTTAAAGCAGTACAGTTAACTTTTAAAAAACAGGTTGAAATTATTAGTTGAAAGGAGACAGATTTTAAAATACAGTCTCTATTTTTAACTTCTGTACTATACCTTCTTTCCTTTTCTCCTTTACTTGTCACCATGACCAGTTTTTGACCACGAGCCCCATTCAGCAGGACGTTCATATGTCAGAGTTGTTCTGTGCACATTCAAATCCAACTAATATTTACTGAGTTTCTTCTGTATATCAGGCATGGGGTGACAACATTCAAATATTATTATACTTTCTCCACAAAACAACCTTATAGGTGATATTCCATCTTTGCAGATAGGTGATATTCCATCTTTGCAGATGAGGAAACTCAAATGGGGCCCAGAGAGGCGAGGTTGCTGACCTAAGGTCACAACTACTGAAAGGTATTGCTGGGTTTAGGACATGGGGCTTAATCTACCCTACTTGGAGGTGGTTATGTACACAGAAAGCCATGGGAGGTACTGAGAGACCACCTGGGTTGACTGTGTGTCTGTAGACATAGTATGTGGAATCTTCACAGCCATTCTCTAGGTGGGGGTGTATGCCGCATTTACAGAGTACAGAACCAAGATCCAAAAAATCACCCCAAATTAGGGCCCACTCACAAAACCAGGGCTTTCCATATGTCATCATAATTGCTGTTTCCTGTGGAGATTGTAAGATACATACCAAGTGAGATCAACCTATTAGTGAGGTTCAGATATTATTGTTTTTGCCCAGTGGTGGGACACCTCCTCGGTTGGCTAAGATGATGCTTCTCTCAATGTCTGAGACTTTTGTCTTTGGATAAAAGTTGGTGATAATTCATCTTTCAGCATCTAAGGGTTTATTACTAATAAGCAATCTTAGCAAAGTAATCATCAGTGAGATTAGATGGCAAGTGCCTACGGTATACCTAGCACTGTGCTAGGCACCTGGGAGGTCAAAAGAATATATTTATGATAGGGATCTGCCATGGCTGATGACAGTACAGGGGAGAGTGCCTGGATCAGGTGCCTGTTTATGCATGTTATGTAGGAGATTTCTGTGTTGTGTTTGGTCATTAAGACCCCATGCCTGGTGGGCAGTAGAGGACAGCCCATGAGCTCTGAAACCAACGAGGCTGGAGCTCAGATCTCTCCCTTCCTCTACTAGTCATGTGGTTCTAGCTAAGTTATTTTCTGTCTTTGTGATCTAGTAAAAATATGGATAATTAGACTCTATACTGCAGTGTTTTAGGTCAGCTTATATTGTTTAATATAGTAAAAGCATGGACACTGTACTTCATTCATATATTATGACAAATTATTGTATTCCACCCTGGGCAGCTTTGTGGGAGGAAAGGATCTCAGGTGGAAGAGGACAGTGCATTATGCCTGGAGTTGACAGCAGTTCCACTAGGATTCCAGATCTTATACTGTTCTCAGCAGAGGTGTGGAGCCAGCTTTGCACTTTATGATTCCCACAGTGCCCATCATGGACCCATGGACATAGTCGAGTGCTCCTGCTCTAAGTGCCCTGTTGTGTCATATCGTTTTCTTTCTGAATCAGAGCCTGCACCCTCAGTGATGTAAAAGAAACTCTTCGAAAAACTCAGAGTTCAGTGTAGAATTTGAGAAACCAGTGGGGTGTATAGGTTTTAGTTGATTCCACTTTGGGAGGCGAGATGGCATGAGGGGGTTGCTCACAGCCCTGGAAAGCAGTTGCTCTCAACTTCCCTCATGCACATGGGCACTCACTGTGTTTGAATAACAGCAATACTACCTCCCTCTGGTTAGAACTTCTAGTCTATGTGCTTATTCTTCTTGGCCTCTGACCCTAGTGAAGTTCAAAGCCATAAGCAAACATTTGCCCAATTTATGTATTAGGGAACTCAGGAGATGACTGTACAGACATACCTCATTTCATTGTGCTTTGCTTTTTTGTGCCTTACAGATAGTGCGTTTTGTGCAAATGGAAGGCAAGACAGAGCAGGCTGCTTGCGCTACTGACCTCTGCTGCTACTGGAGGTGGGGGGAGAGAGAGGAAGAAATATGAATGCTAGTGAGTGTGGTGGGCAGTGTTAGTCCCCATCACATGCTCTGCCTGGGGGCATCCCTCAATATCCTCGACACACTTACTAGCATCACTACCAAAGGGGGGCCCCCCCTCTCCTGGCTGAGCCCCTGGGTGGTCCAGGAGCAGCTGACATTTTGACTGCCAAACATTTTGGAGTGGCAGTGAGGGCAGTGCCTTCCTCCTCACTGGTGCCTTCTGCAGGGGCCTGGCTTCCTTCTTGGGCCTCTGTGCAGCTTCTCCTTTCTTGCTGAGCTTTCAGGACTTCTGTGTAGGCTCTGCAGCAGCCCACTGTCTGCTCAGGGAGGGGCTGGAGAGATGAGACTTTCCCTCCTGCCTCTGCACTGTTTGGAAGCACATGGGAAGTGGGAAGAGCTCTCAGTCTGTGCCGATGAGCGGTGGGGACCTGCCTGGCAAGCTGCACTTGAGCTGCTGGCTCCAGGCTGATCTCTTAATCCTTGGCAGGAAGGCAGAACTTGATACACTGAAGAGAGGGGACTGACGCCCAGTTTATCCCAGGTCCTAGAATACACACACTCAGGAGGGTGTGTTGGGGTGAGTTTGGGTTCCCTAGAGTTCCAGATTTAGCCACTGCCACTGTGTGTGGAAGTCCATATGTGTGCTTTTGGGCATGCAGTTGCTATGTCTGTTAACTTAAACTCACACAAGTTCAAGGGCACATACATGAGCACTATAAATACCCTTAATTCAGATATTCTTTGGGGTTGCTTTTTTAGTGACAAGCAAGATCTGTTTCTCACTTGACACAGCCCAGCAGCTGTGGCTGCCCTGCAAGCCCTCTGGGCACCCAGGGAAGCACTTCCCCTCCAGAAGGAAGTCTCCGTGGGAGGCAGCCTCAGAATTCCCAGCTATGCCCCGCCTTCTGCATTTCATGGGGCAGCACCCCAGGGCCCTGTATAATGGGAAGAGGGAAAGGGGAGGGCCAGGGCGAGCTCCTTCCACCTTCAGGCAGTGATCCTCAGGATACCTTCCCAGGTAGACTTTTCCCCGCTGAGGAAATTGAGAGTGAGTGGGCTTATGGAAAGCAGACAGAGATGTGATTAGGAAAAAAGTTTTTACTTTGGAGGGGGCCTGCAGGGACCATTTGTAGGCCTTAGGAAGTGCCCGCTCGTGTCACCCAGGCTCCAGCTCCCTGCAGCCCCACATTACATCCATAAGTGGCCCAGGGAGCAGAGTTTAGGAGGAGCCACAGGGTTTCTTCCAGACATCAGCTGCAACAGGTGAGATGCTGGCACTAAGCATCCTGGTTTCCCTTAGTAACCTACTGTAGATTTGTCATCTGTGCATTTTGCTAACCTTTTTAGAAGCTATTTATATCTTCTGCCTGCACCACGTCACATGGAATGCTGGCTTCCTCCTCTGTGTGGAAGGTAGAGGCCTTTGTTGACTCCAAAGCCGTTGCAGTGACTGACTGCCCTGTGTTTCCCTCTCGGGACTCTGATGTGGGTTTGGGATGTGCCGGCT